CTCCTGAAGTTTCTTCCACTGACTCAGTCCCTGCTGGGTTTTGCTGCCAAAAGATATGTGGACTTATCTGCCTGGCATGGGAACCCTGGGCTGGGAAGCCTGGTGTGGGACTGGGACTCCTTGCTATCCCTTCTGAGTTTTTGTCCACCACACATGGGTGTGGAACCAGCCCATTCTGCATCTGTGCCCCTTCTACCAGTCAGGATGGATGTGGTGTCTTTAATTCCGTAGTTGCCAGACTTCCATTCAACTCCATTTCTGACGGTCCTGAGTGATGGTTGTTCTGTATTTTAGTTGTAATTTTGGTGTGGCTGTGCGAAGAGGCAAGCCATGTCTGCCTACGCTGCCATCTTAACTGGAAGTCCAAGGAAATTAAATTTCTTCATTCTGGAGTCTTTCTTCCTTTTTCATAGTAAATGTTCAAAGTTTATTAAATGTGCATGTTTGTATTATTTTTATATTCTGCATATGAGCTTTCAGAAAAATTTACAAATCTGCAAATCTGCCTCTTGTTTATTCAAGTGGACAGAAGAGAATTACCCAGAGGAGGAACTGAAAAGCATATTTGGGTATATGATAAGCATGCTTTTTTTTATTTGGGTTCTGTGATGGCCAATTACCATTAACAAACTGGCAGGCTTTTTTTCCTTGTTAGCAAATAGTTATGTGTTTCAGTACATGTGTAGAAGTCTACAAATGTATAGTATAGAAAGAATTTTTGTGGTCAAAACTTGTGCCTTCCACTCTAAATAATTCTTTCAAAAGAAAAAGTATTTACAAACAGAGGAAGGAGATCTGCCTAAATATAACCTAATGTTTACTGTCTTTTAGTTTTTACCACTTGTTTTGAGGATAATTTGAAGAAAACATCTTAAATGTTTGGGTTTTTTTTTCTCTGTAGGGGTTAAGGAAAGTTGAATGTATATTTCCATACCCTAGTTTTTGTTTTCCTTCTCTTGAATCTGCTATAGATGCTAGTAAAAACAAAAGAATGACTATTTATACACATGTAACTGAAAACTATAAAACAGTGTTCCAAATTATTCTTTTTAGTTCTTCTCAAATAAATCACATAGTTTAAGTCCCAGAGGTTATCATTCATCAAATAGAGTTGTGGGAACTTTTGCCTTTTTAATCTATTGTTTTTGCTTTTGAAAATAGTGGAAAATATTTTTGATGTAAATCATATTGCCTTGAAGAGAAAGAACATCTTTGTTTCCTTTGAGTGAACATGTTCCATTAGGTCAGAATCTTCCCCTGTACTGACTTTGTTTAGAAAAATGATTTGTGTTCAGACTTATTCAGGTTAAATTTAAAACTAAATTACCTGTTTAAATAGTTACATTATTGTTTTGGCATTACAACACTGGGTTTTAGGGCAATTTATAGAGCAGTTCAGTTTGTTGGTGAAAGAACGGGATTTTCTTTTTGGTTTATTAGGTGTTGTAACAAAGTATGTCTTCCCACTCAGTCCCTGAATTTGAGTTTTGGCTGCCTTTTCAGTTTACTTGCATTGCTGTTCTTGAGGTTAGCTGGAAGGTCCCTCAGGGGATAAACTTAAGTCTGTGATTGCTACTGGCTACAGCTGGAAACCCTAGGTAGCTGGATGGAAGGGAGAGAAAATGAGAAGGAACAAGAGGGAAAACAGGAAAAGGAAAAGAACATAGCAAAGAGATACAGACAGAGATGGAGGTAGGGAGGAAGAGAAGGGAATGAAATGAAATGAAAATGTGATCTGCAAATCCAGGAGTTACAGATTTGGGGAGAAACCCAACTGTATTCTGAGAGAGAAAGAAAGCAAGAAGAGCCCTGGCCATCGTGGCTCAGTTGATTGGGCATTGTCCACAAAGGTCATTGGTTCAATTCCTGGTCAGGTCACACGCCTGGGTTGTAAGCCAGGTCCCCAGTTGGGGGCATGTGAGAGGGAACCAATTGATGTTTTTCTCCCTCTCATTCTCCTTCCCTTCCCTTCTCTCTAAAAATAAATAAGTAAAATCTTAAAAATAAAAGCGACGAGTTTATAAAAACAGAAAAGGTGTGGCCTTCAAAGGGATTACATCAATTCTGAAAGCTGTGATTGGTGCTGGCAAGCACACGTACACTATGCTATACATAATTAATTGCTTAAATCTGTTGCCAAGTGAAAATTTATTTTTTAATAGAGAGTTCAGTGATGCAGAGCCAGTTCCAGAAACTGCATCATTACAGAGTCATTTGGTTTAGCCCAGTTTAAATTCATTTTTCACATGAGGAAGGTGAGTTAGCTCAGCTTCCCAGATGCCTCCAGGCTCTGTTTTAGATTGTTCTCTTGAAATATTGTTACCAAACAGAAATGGGGTTCTACTTCCCAATGCCCATAGACAAACTCTGGAGACAGAAGTTTGGTAAAAAAGGAAAGAAGTCATTTATTCAAAAGCTACACAGTTTTGGAAGAATGGCAAGCTTCTGCCTCAGAGTCCCTCCTCTTCAGAACACTCAGAGAAAAACCCTTCCACCCTCTGCCAGACCAATCCAAGGCTGCACCCAGAGTTTCTTTTCCTATTTAAAAATACATTCCTTTGGTAAACTGCAGGCATCCGCTGAATTGGCCTTGAAGGTGCTCCATTTCTTTCCCTATGACCGTTGGGCCTCAGTTTGGAGTCTGTGTGCATTCTGCCCTTTCTTCTGTTCACTGCCCACCAGCTTAGCACCTGCACGCTATCCCTCCAGCTGTCAGCTCGCTGATGCATCCCTTCACCACGCTAAGCAGGGTCACACGTCACTAGTCACCTACGCCTGCCACCACTTCTCACTGCAGGTGTTAGGGGCCTGCTACTTGGCCACATGGCTACAGTGCCTGCCAGTCCATGAGTGCTCCTGTCCCCCAACAGGGTGAGTGAAAGGAAAGAACTACATGTTTCTCCCTACCCTTTGTTGAAATCTCCCGGCCCAAAATCCTGTGGCTCTGGAAGGATTACATATTCCATGCTTCTCAGCACATCCCATCCTTTTCCCAGGCTGCACTGGCAGGCCAGCACCTCCCCTGCTACCATGTTATGGAAGGTAATAAGAGGACTTTTTCCTCCGTCAGCCACCCTCTCCATCCTCACACAGACTCTATTCAAGGCTTCTTCCTGCTACATCTCTGCCCAGGGCAGGGAATCTGTTGTCACACATTGCACAATGCCACACTACCCAGCATTTCCTGCAACCCCTCCCTCACTCTGGGGAGTGCAATCTCTCCCGTGCTGCCTCAGGACCTCTCTCCTCTCCCCAGTGATCTGGCCAGATCTCCCTGTATTAATATAACTCCATTTTGTAGGTTTTCTTTCACGTTTCCCCCTTTTGATCAAGGTATTTCTGTAGAAAGCATCAATAGTCATTGATGACTATTGGAAATATCATTGGTCCATCTTTGAAAAAGTAGCAGTGATCCCTCATCACTGGAAGGCTCATGTCTGGTATGTCATGTCCCATGTAGAAGGGAAATAAGTCTGAGTGTGCAGTAAGAGAGCTTATGGCCATATTTTAGCAATAAGGAGAGTTTCTGGAAGCAGAGCTAAGTCACATATTCCTTGGATCAGTAGTTCTCTGTAGAGGGTTTCTCAGTTGGATTTATTAATTGTAATATCTCTAGACAATGGGCTACTGTTTCTTTACAGTAAATCAGATCTCCTTTCAGCAGTGCAGGTTCATACATTCCTTGATTTAATCTCATGGGTCTGTCAGTAATAATTTCAAAAGGAGACAGTCTATTTTTGGCAAAGGAAGTAGAGTAATTTCAGGTTGAGTAATACCAAGGGAAGAGCCTTAGGTCAAGGCAGGTTAAAAGACACTACAAGTTTTGCCAATTGAGTTTTGAGTTTTGATTACCCAGTTAGTCCCTTCTACAAGACCAGAGGACTGGGGGTGATAAACACAATGGAAATGTTAAGTCAACCAGATTTTATAAATGGATTGTGTAATTTGTCCTGTGAAGTGGAGGTCTGTGGGGATTCCCCAAGTTGTTCTTCTCTTCTAGGGGAAAGAACTCTTTTCTTTCTGGGGAAAGTTCTTCTCTAGGAGTTTTTTATTTATTGCCGAGGCTGTGGCTCTGCTGCCTGGGAGTGCTTTCACCCAGTGAGAAAACATACAAATCATTCTAACACATTTATAACCTTGAGGAGGGGGCAGACCTCAAAGGGTCCAAAAGGCAAGGGAAAATGCCCCATACAGGTATGAAAGAGCTTTCTAGGGTAGTGCTTAGGCTAGATATGGCATTAATGATATACCAGTGAAGTTCTCTTTGGAAATGGCTTCCAGTAGTATTGTTTTTTTTTCCCCCCATAGAGCCATTTTGTAAGTGTTGGAATGAGTTAAGTCATGTGCATATTGTAGTATGTGATGTTGTGTGCAGTCCGGGAGGAGTGGTCAAGCATTTTTGATGTAGTGATAAGTTTCTTTTGGGGTCAAATTTACAGCCTTGTTGTAAGCATTTCTTTCTATTTTGTCAACCAGCTAAATGCTGTGCTTCCATAATGTTTTCTTTTAAATCTCCAGTTACTTTAGCTGGTGGTGTAGGTGCTTCTATTGGGGGCTGAGATTGTTTTAATGTTTCTAACTTAGCAGCAGCAGCCAAATGATTACTTCTACTTTCCTCATTGTTTGCCATTGAATGTCCAGGGATTTTTGTAATTGCTAAAGATTTAAGTAATTGGATAGCCTCTATGAGTTCTAAAACATAAGAACTGATGTTTATCTTTTGTCTGGAAGATCTCAGGAATCCTCTCTGTTTCCAGAGCATACCAGAGTCACAGGCAACACCAAAGATATATCTGCTGTCAGAATAAATGTTAGCTATCTTTGGCTGGATTGCAAGCATAGAGCAGAAGTTGCCTGAGGACTATCTTTAGTGGTTTTATTTAGAGAGATGATTGCATAGCCTGCTTGATAGTGGCCTATTTCATCCTTTTAAAAAAAGTTTAGGTCATTTCCTCAGTCACACCAGCCACCCCAAGGGACGTGAACCCACAACCAGCAGTATGTTGCGACTGGAGATGGCTATGGCCTTGATCATCGAGGTCTTCACCCCATGCATGGGCACAGATGGCACCGTGCAGAGCCTGAACAAGTGGGAGATGAAGGTGCTCCTGGAGAAGAAGCTGTTGGGCTTCCTGCAGAGTGGAAGGGACAAGGAGGCCATGGACAAACTGCCCAGGGACCTGGATGCTGATGGAGATACCATGGTAGACTTCAACAAGTTCATAGAGTTTGTGGCTGCCATCACAACCGTTTGTCACTCGTGCTTCCAGCAGAAGGGACTCAACTGAGGTCCTGCAGACCCAGATTCCTGAAGAGGGCCCAGGGAGCAGGGCCCTGGCATCCAGAAAGCTCTAGGCGGCAATTATTTCTGTGGGCTGAGTGAGCTGATGGCTGTCTGATTAATAAAATGCATTAATTAATTAGTGAAATGAAAAAAATAGTTTATTTTAGATAGAGAGGAAGGGAAAAAGAGAGAAACATTGGTTTGTCCCACTTATTTACTCATGCATTGGTTGTTTCTTGTATGTCTTCTGACTGGGATTGAACTTGCAACCTTTGAGGATCAGGATGATGCTAACCAAATGAGCTACCTGGCCAGGGCCTATTTCATCCTTTATGTAAGAACCATCAGTAAACCAAACTAATTCAGCATTTTTAAGAGGTGTTTCCTGTAAATCAGTTCAGGGAGTTACTGTTCAGTCTGTTAAAGTCAAGCAATCATGAGGGATTTCCTCAGAGGGAGGAGAGTAGCAGGGTTCAGGGTATTACAGTGAGTAATAGTCATATTAGATGAAGACAATAAAAGAATTTTGTAGGGGGGTTAGTCTTCTAGCAGATAGTTCCCATGAGGCATATAAGAGTTATTGGAGAGCCTATTATTATATTCCTTTCTACCTATTAAAGTAAATTGGCAGTGGCCACAATATGTCTCATACAGAGTAGGAGACTTTTGGCCCTCAGGTCTGATTGTTGGCTCTGGTATCCAATGAGTCCATGTTGGTTTCCATGTCACTGGGTCAAGACACCTAAGGCATTTCCTTCTCTTTCATGGATGAAAAGGAAAAAGGGCAATTGGTAATTAGGATGTTCAGAGAATCCTGGCTTATGTTTGGATAGTGAACAGAAATTCTCTAGCAAACACAGTGGGATCCTCTTTGGGATTAGGGAATTCTTTAGTATGGCATGGAGTTCAGTTTTAGTCCATGGGGACATAAAAAAATAGGGGTTGTCATTCTGGACCAGACCCATCCGATGGTTTACCTTTAAATGGAACAGTAAAAGTGGGGTGATTTAATAGAGCCTTGGGTTCATTGTTATGAAAAGAGAGTTCATGCCTTGGCCATTGTGGCTCAGCTGGTTGGAGTGTCATCCTGTAGACCAAAAGGTCATGAGTTCAATCTTTTGGGGTGCATATGAGAAGGCAACCAATTGATGTTTCTCTTTCACATTGATGTTTCTCTATCTCTCCCCCTCCCCCCCTTCCAACTCTCTAAAAATAATGAAAAATGTCCATGGGTGAGGATTAAAAAAAAGAAAGAAAAAAATAGAAAGATGAAATTCACCCAGTGAAGGGTAAAGGGGGGAGGACAGGAAAGCAGCAAAGGAGCCAAAGGTGCAGATAATAAGATGTCAGGGAAACATTTAGAAGTTTCCTCAAGTTTAGGAAGCCTTTGAGACAACTCAATTTGCTTTGGTTAATTTAGAATTTGTGTCTTAGAGGGAAGCATTTTAAAAAAAATTATATTTAGCCCTGGCTGGCGTAGCTCAGTGGATTGAGCGCGGGCTGCGAACCAAAGTGTCGCAGGTTCGATTCCCAGCCAGGGTACATGCTTCGGTTGCAGGCCATAACCCCCAGCAACTGCACGTTGATGATTCTCTGTCTCTGTCTCTCTCTGTCTCTCAAGTGAATAAATTAAAAAAAAATCTTAAAAAAAATTCTATTTAGTCTTAGAGAGAAGAGAAGGGAAGGAAGGGGAAAAGAGAGAAACATCAATGTGTGAGAGAAACAGATTGGTTGCCTTTCCCACACTGCCATCTGGGGACCTGGCCCACAACTGAGGCATGTGCCCTGACTGGGAATTGAACCAATGACCTTCAGTTTGCAGGCTAGGGCTCAATCCACTGAGCCACACCAGCAAGGGCGGGAAGCAATTTTTGAATCACTTATATCAGGGGTCCCCAACCCCCTGAGCCATGGACTGATACCAGTCCGTGGCCTGTTAGGAACTGGGCTGCACAGCAGGAGGTAAGCTTGAATGTAATGCACTTGACTCATCCCAAAACCATCTCCCGACCCCCGGTCTGTGGAAAAATTATCTTCCATAAAACTGGTCCCCAGTGCCAAAAAGGTTAGGGACTGCTGATATATGTTTGGAGGCTTCAAAAATGCTGATTATAATGTACTTCCCATTCATGTTGCTTAGTTTATAGTCTTTTTCCAGTTGACTGTGCAGATAGACTAGCTTGGGGATTTCAAAAGAGCTCCAGGTTAGCCAGTTTAATTGTAAATCATGCTGGGTAATTATGGTCCAATGAGACAGAAAGTTCCCGGATGAGGGCCCATTATTTTTTTATACAAATTATCAGGAATTCCAGAAGGTGACTGTTCAGCAATTATTCCCTTAGAAAGTGAACTTCCTATTTTTCAAAAGCATAATAGCTCACTAGATGGACATTTTTTAAGTCCTGTAGACAAAATACTGGCAGCAGAGGACGCACAATTAGAGCTTGAACCTCAACCAAGGTAGGAGGTTAGGGTCCAGGAGGACTTCCCACAATCATCCAGGACTATTAGAATGGCAGTAAAGAGCAGTGACTTTGTAGGTACATTACTAAGGTGCCCAAAGAGGAAGCAGTCACTCTGAATCCCACTTCTCTTGACACCATGTAGTTCTAATCAGTTTTGACCAAGAACTGCAAGGCCCAGAGAGATTAAGTTATTTAGCCAAGGTCCCACTCATAGTGTTAGTGGGAAAGTCAAAACTAGATCTACCACCCCTTTTAGGTACTCATTCCACAGCCTAACACTATCTTACACTTAACTCTAGAAACTTAATTTTAACATAGGTGTATTGAAAAGTCTACTAGTAATGTCTGAAATTTCTGGCTATAGGAGAAACTGCACCCTATTTTTTGATGGTAAACAGTGCTGTCAGGCTGGTGTGAGGAAGCAGGCTCTTTTGTTTACATTGAATGGTGGAACTTAAATTGGTAAAGCCTCTTTGGAGAGCAGGTGTCTGAAGGCACCTGCCTTCAGACACCTGTTTGGAGGGCAGTATGTCTGAAAATTAGAAATGCATATGCCTTTTACCTAGCAATTGTACTTTTAGCAAAAGTATGCAAAGATATGTATAACTTAATTTGTTGCACTGGTATTATTTGTAATAAGAACCTGGAAACAAATGTCCAATAGTAGGGGGACTGGTTAAATACAAAATAATAACTGCTATGAAAGGGATTACTATGCAGATGTTAAGAATGAGTTAGATTCAGATTTCTAGCCAAGATGGAGGCTTAAGTAGATACACTTTGCCTCCTTGCACAACCGAAAGGACAACAAATTAAAAAACAAAAAATAACCAGAACTGCCAGAAAATTGAACTGTATAAAAGCCCAACAGCCAAGGAGTTAAAGAAGAAACATTCCTCCAGACCCAGTAGGAGGGGCAGAGACAGGCAGCCAGGTTGGAGAGGACTCTCAGCAAGGTTGCAGCTGGCAGACTGGGCAAGGCAGTGGCTGGTGGAGCGTGTGGTCCCACATTTTCATGTGGATAAACCAGCAGGAGTAGCTGGGGAGCAAGACAGACTGCAAAACTCAGGACTTCAGCATGGGAAAAGAAAGCCTCAAAATCGCTGACTAAAAAAACCTGTGGGGGGTTAAGGCAGCAAGAGAAACTTCCAGCCTCACAGTTGAGTTCATTGCAGAGACCCAAAGGGTCCTAGAACATATACAAACCCACCCACCCAGTAATTGGCACCAGAAGGGCCCAATTTGCTTGTGGGTAGTGGAGCAAGTGACTGAAAGATGGTCAAGAGCCGAACAAGTGGCATTGTTTCCTCTCGGACCCCTCCCCACCATACAACATGACAATGCAGTGATGTGGATTGCCCTGCCCTGGTGAATACCTAAGTCTCTGCCCCTTACTACATAACAGGAGCACCAAGACAAAGAACTATGGCCCAAATGAAAGAACAGATCAAAGTGCCAGAAAAAATACAACTAAGTGATAAAGAGATAGCCAGCCTACCAGATGCACAGTTCAAAACACTAGTAATCAGGATGCTCACAGAAATCGTTGAGTATGGTTGCAAAACGGGAAAAAGTGAAGACTATGAAAAGTCAAATAAAGGAAAGTGTACAGGGAACCAAAAGTAAAGGGAAGGAAACTGAGACTCAAAACAATGGTTTGGAGCAAAAAGGAGGAAATAAACATTCAACCAGAACAGAATGTAGAAATCAGAATTTTAAAAAATGAGGAGAGGCTTAGGAACCTCTGGGACAACATTAAACATTCCAGCATTCAAGTCATAGGGGTGCCAGAAGGAGAAGAGGAAGAGTAGAAAATTGAAAACCTATCTGAACAAATAATGAAGCAAAACTTCCCCTATCTGGCAAAGGAAATAGACTTCCAGGAAGCTCAGAGGGTCCCTACAAAGTTGGATCCAAGGAAGCACACACCAAGACACATCATAAGTTACCCAAGATTAAAGATAAGGAGAGAATCTTAAAAGCAGCATGAGGAAAGGAGACAATTACGTACAAAGGAGTGTCCATAAAACTGTCAGCTGATTTCTCAAAAGAGACCTTACAGGCAAGAAGGGGCTGGAAAGAAGTATTCCAAGTCATGAAAGGCAAGGACCTACATCCAGGATTACTCTATCCAGCAAAGCTATCATTTAGAATGGAAGGGCAGATAAAGTGCTTCCCAGATAAGGTCAAGTTAAAGGAGTTCATCATCACCAAGCCCTTATTATATGAAATGTTAAAGGGACTTATCTAAGAAAAAGAAGAAGATAAAAAATATGAACGGTAAAATGACAACAAACTCACAGCTATCAACAACTAAACCTAAAAAAAAAAACAAAGACAAAAACAAACTAAGCAAACAACTACAACAGGAACAGAATCACAGAAATAAAGATCACAAGGAGGGATATCAGTGGGGAAGGGGGTAATGGGCTTAAAGGTACAGGGATTAAGTAGTATCAATGATAGGTACAAAATAGACAGGGGGAGGTTAAGAATAGTATGGGAAATGGAGAAGCTAAAGAATTTATATGTATGACCC